AGAAAGGAAGAAAAAGGAGCAAGAGATTATTGCACAGGAGGAGAAGAGCTTTGAAGAAGTGTTTTGTGATTTCGCTGTATATCCTCCACCTCCTTCTCTATGTGCTCCTTTAGCCTAAACATGTTTTCAGAAGTTAGAAGGTGGAACTTCGATTATGTCTGTCTTTGTCCCAGAGAAATGCTCTTGGGCTAACTGTAGCTTGCAGTAGCCCCTTCTAGACCTCTGAAAAATACGTTTTTGACGAAATAGTTGGTCGGATACTTTAGAGTTAAGAACAGACTGTGAGGCGGAGGACGTGGAAGAGCAGTTCTTCTTTTTAGCCGGTGCCTGTGGACAATTCCTTCAAAACAACAAAGCTGAGGGTTTGTTTCACTTTGTATTGATTCCCATTTGTGGCATGGTACTTTCAGAAGATGGAAGGTGAAACTCTGTTTTTGTTTGGTTTTGTCCCCGAGAAAGGGTTTTGGGGAGATTGTAGGATGCAATGGTCCTTTTGTAAACCCCTGAAAAATTAAAGTCCTAGACTGGAAGGCAAGGCGGATGCTGGAGAGTTAAGGACAGATTGTCATGTGGAGGATGTTTAGAACCAATCCCTCTTCTTAACCTTTGCCTCTAGAAGATTCCTTCAAAACAACGAGGATGGGGTTTGGTTTCACTTTTGATTTGTCTAAATTGGCTGGAAACTCTTAACTTTAGCCCCTCTTATCCTGGAGCCCAACTCTTTGAGGCATTGGCCCCACTCCATATCTCATTATCTCTTTCAAAATTTCATTTTGTCATTGCACCCACGCACTCTTTCATACTCCCCCCCATTAGAGGCAATACATTGGGTTTTCTCGAAAGGTATTTGAAACAGAATCTTACAATAGAGACTGCAGATGAGGTGGGGGGGAGGAGGGGACCTGGGTTTTAGGGTTTAATGAGTGGCCTGCTGGGGGTGAAAGAGATAGAAACCAAGTGAGCGAGAGCAACAGAGAGTGCATTTGTGGAGCGTTAGAGGGAAAGGAGAAAGAATCGTAAGGGAGAAAGAATGCAGGAATGAAGTACCAGGTACCATTATAGTGGCAAAGAAAGCTGCTGAAATACTAGAGCTGGGGCGTGTGCTCTGATCAGGACGGCAGTGAGCACAATTACCTTCTTTTCAAATCCTTCAGTGACACTGCGGGAGGAAGGAGGACTTTGAAACTTGAAAGGCAAGAGCTCGCTTTCAACCTCAAACGCGAGCAGGAAAGGGCTCTGAAATTTGTTCAGTGCTCCCCATCCACCATTAGCTTGTTTCTTCCTCTCGCCTCCAGGCATTTAAGCGCTTTTTGAAAAGATGTTAAGAAATTCAATCACCATAGAGAGAGAGAGAGAGCGCAATAGTTCTTTTTTTTCAGTATTTTTTTATTTTTTTTTTTAAGGCATGCTTTCCTCTGGTCCACAGAGGACCGGCCTGCTGCTTTTGTGTTATGTACTGAATAGACCTGCAAACTGGTAGAGGACTGGATGCAGTAACCATGGGAAAACAGAGAGGAAATAAAAGAAGAATCTAAAGTGAATGGAGGAAAAAGGGAGAGGATCTGTTGGGCACATGGTCAGAAGTTAGAAAAAGGTTTCATGGTTTAACTTTAACTTTATAAAAATTGCATACGTTTACGTCTGCTCGGTCTTCATCAGATGCGCTGGTGATGCGGTTGATATCCGATCCATGGTTTATGTGAAGCTTTTCCTTGCCAATTCCAGTTTTAGCCAAATTCAACATCTTTTTAAGATTTATTAACAGCTCTCATAATAGCCATCTTGCAATCAGTGACGCACAAAAACCATTTCTAGGATCCTATAGTGGCGAGTAGCATATTTAGTGCACTTTGCTAACAGTAAAAATCATGTTTCTCTACAACAGATGATGGACTGCTGTCAGATATTGGATACAAAGTAGGTCTTGACTCAGATTGATTGGGGTTATTTATAGAAGTGAGTTTTAATTTGTGGAACTTTTACACTTGTGTTCATTTCTATTTCGATTAAAAGTTTACGGCTCAAAAGTTAGAAGCAGAGCAGCTTTTCTTGAATATGTTCAGTGTTTCCTATTATCTACCGACGTTAGCTTCAGGTCAGTTCACTCTCACTAATTCAACAATTCATCTCTAAATCAGGTGTGAGTTGACGTCCTGTGGCAGATGTCTTATTTTGTTCTGCTGGGAAGAAGGAACTAACGCTGCTAACGTATGAAATTGCAAAGGAGTAAACTGGTGGTATTTTGTAGCACTCTAAATGAAAACTACATGCCCCAGTAGATTAAACAATTTCCTTTTGCAAAACTGTTTGAGCAGCTTTGTTCTTCGTCCTGGTTTCTTTTTTAAACATCACACTGACAGTGAAAACGTGGTTTTCCTCCTGCAGTCGAAACAATCTCTACATTGAAGGGGGTTGTGTTTTGCGTTCACTGATTGAAAAAAAAGGTTTGATTTTTTGGGTTTTTGGGATTTTTTTTTTTTTTTTTTTTTTTTACAGATTCTCAACATGTTACACTGGCACAAAAAGGTTTCCTTGAGCAGCCAGAAGCAGCACACAAGAGAAATCCCTGAACGAGAGCAGATCTGTTCCACCAAGACGTCAAGGAGTTAATTGCCCCTTGTGCTGCAGAGTGTTTGTTTAACCATTTAAGGTTCTATGAACTGCTGTAATGAAGCCCCTGAAGGTGGTATATGGTGGAATGATGAACCCTCCTCCTGGGGGGATGGAGGGCGGAGTGTGACAGTGCTGTGATTGAACCGTTTGCCGCTTGACCTCACTTGTTATGTTTGAATAGTGGTGGGGGTCACGACTGAAGAACATGAAAGTTGCGAGTAGCGAGGAAAAATCTAAACAAACTAGAAAGCCTTTCTTTTACTTCTGTAACTCCTGTAAGCTCACAAACACACTCTGATGAATCTATTTATAAAAGATTAAATACCTGCTTAAAATATAATAAAATAAAAAAGAAACCCAGCTCATAAATATGTAGCCAGGCTACTTTTGCAGCTGGAATTGTAGATTTTCTGCATGTAGAAGTGCTGGGAGAACACAGCGGGAGCCGTGCTGCACACAGCTACGTGCCCGGCCTCCCCTCTCCTGCACAGGCTACAGTCCCGACTTCCTCAATCCATGTCAGGAGACGAACCCAATTTCAAAATCCCTTTATGTTAATATTGCGCTTTGCAAGCGCAGACCTATTAATCCAGCTTTAACCGTATAAGTTGCATTATTCCCCTTAATAAGATCACTGGCTGTGCAGTATAGGATTAAATACTTATATCATAACTGACACTGTCATTTCCCGCGGATGAGAGTGACTTGCCTCTCTCCGGCTGTCAGTTCCGCATTAGGAATCCTTGAATCCGCTGCCAGGGCTGCGCCAGGGCACGGCTGGCCCCGGATGCAGGTAATGGATGTGGGAGAGTGAGGGGAATAAAAAGCGGGACCCCTCGAGCTGCTCCTCCTGCTCTCTCATTGCCTCTTTCAATCTCATTCTCTACTCCTTTCTGATTGCTTCTCTTCTTTTTTTTTCTCCCTGTGAAGTGGCAACTCTCTGCAGTGCTTAAGGTGGCGCTCTCTCATCTGGCCCTCTGCCCTGTTTCTAATTGGCAGTTGGATTGCTGTTATGTTGCAGCGGATTGTGGGGGAAGGCTGCTAATGCTACAGAACCTCTGGCGCCAGTGGAGGGGCATTTTGCCAGGTTCTCAGTGAGGGACATTGATGTTGGAAAAGGAAAAAGCTGGAGCGCATTGATGACCAGCATCCTTAATGATGAACTCACTTTAACTTAAAACAAGGGCTGAACATGTGTGCGATTTACTGGAATCTAGTGAATGCTGGTTGGGGGGAAAAAGTAAAGTTAAAAAGGTTTTACTACTTGATCATGTTATTGTTATTTAATTCTGTCCATTATTTCCTGTTTGAAACAGAACTTGCTTTTCAAATTCTAAGGCAGGTTAGTTGTTTTTGAACAAACTCATCTACTAATCATAAAAATCATCAATTTTCAGCAACATTTATATCTTTCTTAAAAAGATAATTATCAGAGTTAATTTGCTTTTAAAAACTGCTCCTTGTAAATGTGTCTAATTTAAATTGAAATAATAAAGAGTCCCAGACATGCCACGGCACTTTTAGAGAAAGTATCAAACTACAGAAAGGACTAATGCTAAAACCAGAAGGTTAGCTGACCTTTGTACACATCAGTTCAGAGGCCATGCCAGGGGTCAAAGACCACGTCTTTTCGGGGGAGTTAAGGCTCTGAGCTCAGCTTCACCTTTATCCCGATTACATGGCATGCTGAGGATCGTACAAAGACCCCATGTCTCTGGTTTTTTCTCTCCTTAGACAAAAAACATTCTGTTAAGAGCTGATGGTTAGGGGGATGCTCGCACAGCTTAAAATGCCTTCCTTTTCTTTTAAAGTCTGCCTCTCAAAATAGCAGATTTATCCTTTCAGTAGGCTCTTTTTTCCGTTGTAAAATTTAAAAGTTTGAGTGTGCCCAGCTCGTAAATTTGATTGGCTAACCTTGACATATATATACCCAGAATGCTCTGCACTTTTGCTTAGCACTATTTTTGTTGTCTGAAGAAATGCAGTGCGCCATCTCAAAAATAATCAGTCAGAGTCAGGTGGAAGGTCTTAGTGCTGTCAATCAGCACAGTGTACACGATGCTCAGTGTGCTAAATGTGGAGAAGCAACTTAGTGTTCCAGGAAAACCGTGTATCCGCTGTCACCGGTGGCTTTGCTAACTAGACTGATCATTCATGGCAGTCTCTGCTATCTTTAAGAAGTTGTAGTGTAGCAGAGAGAAGGGGGAGGATTTGAGCAGCACGTACACGATCCTAACTGATGGCGCTAAGACCCTTCTTCTGGCTCTGATTGGTTGTTTCTAGGGAGTAGTGGGAGACAGCAAAAGAACTATGTTGTCCAGACTTAGTCAGAGTTACCTGAAACATCACTTTTCTCTCTTTCCCTTTGTGTTTCTTCATTCTGGCAGAAGATGAGAGTTCGGGGACGCCGTACCACCGCGAGAGACGCAATGCCATTAGCTCCCAGGCCCAGACGCCAGGTGCCCTCGACAGAACCGTGAACGAGGAACCCTCCACCTCCACAGAGGAACGCCCGTCCCTGCTCAAGAAGGAGCTGCACGGCTCCCTGCCCCATCTGTCTGACCATGCTCTGCCATACAGGGGCACGCTGTTTGCCATGGACCCCCGCAACGGCTACCTAGACTCACACTACCGTAAGTCCACAGGCCTCCCAAAAGTTGGCAACTTAGGAAACTTTACAGCTCAAGGGCGCGTTTGTGGCGCTCTAAATGCTGAGGCTAGCTTTGCCTCCTTACTGTAGGTGAAAGGCACGACTGTTAGACGCTTGATTAAGTCTGACAGATTAGCCCTTCTCTTAGACTTGCACAGACACACACTCGCGAACACATGCACGCTCGCTTGCAATGTTTGGTGCCTGGGAAGTTAGTATGGGGAACAGGCCGGCGTAGCTTCTTAATTCCCTCATTAGGGGCCTGTCTGAACACAGTACTCCACTTTCTCTCATCAACGCACACTTCAAAGCCCCAAAGCAGTGCCGAGTCAAACCTCAGCACCCCCCTACTCTGGCTCGTTCTCGCTCTCTCTGGGACTCTCTCAGAGGCTGTGTAAGAGAAAGGGAAGGAGATGAAGCCCTGGAGTTGGGAGGTGAGGGGAGAGCTGTGGTCCAATTGAGATGGTGGAGATAATTTGAAGCAAAGGTGAGGTAAACAGTTGTAGTTAGATAAAAGCAAAGCTGTGTGTGCACGCTGGAAGAAAAGGCAAAGGGGGGATAGATGTTTTAAGAGTCTGATTAGGAGGTTAATTTGGCAGCCGTTGCAGCCGTAAGACAAAGATTTGATGTGATTACTCGTTAAGTTTGGTTATTTTCCCCTCGAATTGGGCCAGACAGAGTCGGACAGGAGAATTTTAAAGTGTTGACATTAATGAAAAACTCCACCGAACCCCAGACTCCAACAGAACTCTATTTATTTAACCACTTCATTAGCCTGTACTCCCTTGTGGTTGGGTGCCTGAGAATAGAGCCACCAAGGTGCCTCTTTAAGGGAAAGGTTACTTAAAACCAGGCGATGGTGCTTTGGACAGGAGCCTCGAGGGCAGAACATTACTGCACATTACATCCTGACCTAACTCAGCAACACTGCCACTTCTCATTTTATGAACGTGTGTGGGTATGTGTGAAGGAGCTCTGGTGGTTCCAGACCGCTGCAGGCGCAGGGAGGGAGACGGCGGGGGCAGAATAAAGAGGGGGGTGGGGGGGTTGGAGGTCACTCCGAGGCTTGGGGTCATGCGGAAAAGTCACAGCCTGAAATGGAGAGTTCAAAAGCAGCATGAAAAGTCAAAGGGGCCATGAAGCTTCAAGAGAATTTCTTTGTGACTGAATGTGAGGGGCTTGACGAAGCAGGGCAGAGCATCAAGTTGCATTCTAAGAAGCTGTCGGTGTTCTGCACATGTTCTTCCTCTGCAGCCAAAATGTGAGGTGTTTTATCATATTCATCCAGTGAAATACTAAAATCTTCTCACTTTCCCTCCTGTCCGCTTTTCTTTAAATTATTTGATCGTTTCAAGCTACCTCAATTGCCAGTTTCATCCTGATTCAAGTCATGTACGCTCTTCAAAACCAAGTGGTTTACCACACGTTATGTAGCTACCATGGAAACATGGAGACTGCAGGTCGAGTGCAGTGTCTGAGTCAGAGCCTTATCTTAAGCTCATTCTACATGTTTTATGTTCTGGTTTTAGACTAATTCAGCTCAGTTCAATGTATTTTTAAGCAACAGCTGACAACAAATGTCATCTCAAGTTACTTTACAAGAGAAACGGGAAGCCCAGTTGATTGCACTGAGGTCACTGACGATGCAGCAATCCCTCATCCTGAAGTAAGCATAAGCTTAGTGGAGGGGAAGCAATCCCTCTAACAGGACCAGGCTTAGTACGAATGGCAATTACAACAACTGCCTGAGTATTGAGAAGACACAGGATCCCTGAACAAGGAATACTTTTTATGGGTAAAAACAAAGAGTAATTGGGGAAACAGAGTTAATGTGACCTTCTCCTTTGACTTTTCACCTTCCCCTTCACTGGCTCCTTCCAGTGAAGGAGAGTCACTTTCTATTGCTGAAAAATATATATATAAAAAAGAGAGAATAAAATAGTTTGCAGGAGAATCACTGAGTATGGAGTACCTTCTTTTTAAAAAAATAACAATTGTGCAAAGGTTTTATCACTATCTTTCTCCGGAAAAAGAGTCTTTCTAGACAAGCTGTACTTTTCATAGGAAAGAAAAATAAGGAGTAGCACCAATTTCAGATTAAATCAACGATTCTAGGAAGAATATTTATAATAATGGCAATCAATTGCACAATCACATTTTGTTTTTAAATAAATGAATCCTTTCGAACAAAATAAGCAAATTAATTGTGAAGTTTGTCATCTGGCGTTATGCAAGTATGGGACACCTAGTAGAATAAACACTGAAACAAAGTTGTTTTTTTTTTAATGAAGCGTATCCCCACCCTCCCATCCCAAGATATTTTGGTTTGTTTACTCCAAAGCTAATTCAAAAAATGTACATGAAACTATATAAAAAATGATCCACCCAGAGTTTTCTTGGGACTTTAAAAAGGATTCAGTGTGGCTCAAGATCAGCACTTTGTATTCCTTTCAGAAACAGTAAAAGCTGAATAATGCATTTCCTGTCTTAAAGTCAAAATTGCAAATAATCCCATTAAGCAATGTATTGTAATTAAAAAAATAACACCATTGAGAATGGAAAATATCTGCATTTCACCTTTAAAACCAGTCTGAATGGCTTCTGGTGTTTTTCATTGATGCTCCTATGATGTCTAACGTGTTAAGGAAGACTTATGATCTGAGATGAGAGCATTGCTGCGTAAAACACCTCCTTCTGGCCTCAGGTGTTGAGGACATGAGTGGGTATCCCAAGGCGGTCCCATTCTGTCTGATTGAACCCAGTACCACATCCTGGTCTCCAGGGGTTTCGCCATATTTAGGGTCAGCAGAAGGAAGGGGCTCCCCTTAAACCTTTGCAATCCCCCAGCCCCTTCCTCACCTCATTCATGTACTTTGAACCACAGACCTGCAGCATCTGTCGCCACTCCTGCACCGCGAGTTGTAAAAAGCCACTGTTTGGGTTTGTGCATACACAGACAGCTCTTACTATGAGGGCTTTGTCGACTCCTAAATTCGTCCCAGGTGTGTGCGTTGGCCGTGTGTGATGGAGAGGGGGCGGTAAGCCTTTGTGCTGCGCTTGCAGGGAGCGCCACGCCATGCAGCAGACATCCAGGTAAATCCGATTACTCTTAGCGCTGCTGCGTGTCAGTGCTTAATGTGCCTAAATGCGATGGCACCTGCAGCCCTGCCACACCTGGCCGCTGGGTCGTTAACGTGGCGGTGAAGCTCTGGGAGGTGTGGGAGTTGAGAAACGAGAAGAGAGCAAAAGGAGAGGGGTTTATCCTCGGGGGGAAATCTCTGCTATTCACCCAGACTTGCATTCTCCTTTTCCTCTTATGTCCTCGGCCTAAGACTGTGTTTACTCTGGTTTTTTACACCCACTTCAGAGCAGAAGAGGAGGCACCAAGGAAACATTACTTCCATTGTTAGCAATAGCTAATCGTGGTGATGCCTGAGTCTTAGCTGCTTTTCTTGGGCAAACACTGGATAAGAGTCCCTATCCTTCTTACCACAACGCTAATACATACAGCTTTGCTGTGGGATAAGGAGAAAAGGACTGAGATTAGGATTAATGAGAAAAAAAGTCTTTCTTAAAATCTTAATTGTTGGGAAGCATGAATGCAATGCACAGTGCTGACATCTGTTTACATTGTGCCCCGATTAGCCGGCCAGTGGTCGTTTAGCCACAGAGAGCCCATTTGCTGGCGAAGCATCTCTTCTTCCTCCGAGGAGATCTTCGTCTTTAAAGTCTTTCCTCCTTTTCCCATCTTTGCCAAGCCTAGCATGACATGGACGTTGTTGCCGCCGCACTGAAACCCCAGAGAGTTTTAAATGAAAGGAGGGGAGTTAGATAAAAGTAAAAGGAAAGTACTTATGGAACTGAAGATATGTCAGTTTTGGGGTTTTACCATATCACTGACACAGTAGGTCATTGATAGGGCTAGAATGGGTACTTTAAGTTTGTTCAAGCTGTGATGGCTGCCTGCCTATCAGCACAAATTAGCTCCTTAATAGATCTAGCTCATATCTTGCTGCCAGGGCCTTAATCCCCCATACCAAAGCCTTGCCGTCCTTGACTGATCCCAGAAACCCACTGAGCTAAGCTAGAGGCAGTGAAAGTAAGAATGTTTTGCCCAAAGAAATCTTCACATGTATCACAGCGACTGTGCTCTAAGAGTTCAGCAGAAGGTGGTTGTTGCATGGATCATACAGGTCACGTGTGCGATCACTAAGCTGCTGTTTATCAGCTATCTCAGGTCGATTTAGCTCTTCATTCTGCCAGACTCAATATCAAAATGCAGCTGACCACGGAAGTGTATAAACTGTCACAAAGCCAATGTGATCCACTTCACAGCAAGTCCAGACCTCGCAGTTCTCTCATTTCAAATTGGATGCAAAAGGCCAATTTTTTTTCTCCATATTTTGCCACATATTTTGAACTACAATCGTCAATGGGATTTTATTTGATTTGTCTTTTAATGTGGCAGCGTTATGTTGTGGGGATGCTTTTCGTCACGTGAATCAGGGAAGTTGGTCCAAACTTGGGATTGGATGGTTTTCTAACTCCCTTAGTCAAAACTTTGCAAAACTGCCTTTTGCTAATTCACACGCCCCATGTGTGTATTCAGACATGGGGCATATTCTTGTTTTTGTACAGACATGATTTGTCTATGCAAAAACATGTCACTCTTCATGCTTATGTATAGAATTTTAGGAGCCAAACTTCTGTTTCACAGGTCTGAACTACTTTGCGTTGGTCTATCACATAAAATCCTTTCTGCTATAACTTGACAAAGGGTTGCAAATTTCAGGTAAGAAGACTGTAAAATTTCAAAGCAACAATGTGTGTACACATGCAAAGAACAAGAAAAAAGATTCTTTGTCTCTTGATAATTTATTTGAACTCATAGAACAAACTTTCCAGTCTCTTGTCAGTTTAAATGTGACAACTGACTCGGAAGCAGGTTCAAACGCCCTCCCTTCCCTAAAGGATTGGAGGAAC